AGACACAAAAATAGGGCTTGACTTTGTCGGCAAAATCACTGTCCGTGAGAGAGAGAGAGAGCATTAATAAACTAAATGGATTAGAAAATATTTTTCTCAAATATAACATATTAATTAATATTGCAATAATTTTAATACTATATTTATATGCATGAATTTTTATTATGGTAGTTATGATCTTTACAATAAACACCCGGTGCTATATGAAAATTAATTATAATAAAATAATCCAGTTCACTATGAGAGGTATACATAATAGAAAATAACTATAGGGTTAGGCATCAAAAAATACTAATGGGTTAATAACTAGCAAAAACTCATTGTGTTATTTAATACAACAAAAACTCTATTGTATTGCAAATATAATGGAAAATATAATTTTTTATATTTCAGTCAAAATCTCTGTCCATAAGTAATAAAAAATACAATAATATTTAAATGAAAATAAATGACACGAAAGCTTAAAGCGACCGTCAATTTAGTCGTTATATCCGACAGTATTTCATACAAATACTCGGCTTTTTTCAATGCAATCACTGGGAAAACACATAAAAATGGGACAAAATTATGCTTTTTTATTGTTTATTAATCTTCTTAACTGTTATTGTTTTAATAATATAGTAAACAATAAAGAGATTTATAATGAAAATAATGTAAAAAGCTTTTTTATATAGCGCTATAAAAGCGACATTTTTCTATATATAATATAAATGCCATACAAATAAAAATTGAAATTAATTTTGCGGTCCTTTTACTCAAATGTGTTTTTCATAAGCTCGCAGTGTATCATAAAAAATCATTTTAATGTCAACTTTTATAGTGAATACAAAAAATTAGGATTTAATTTGATATCGTAGTGAGAGGTTCCGGAATATTCTGGTGAAACTCGATAAGCATGGTAGTTTTTAGCCTATTCAACCACAAATAATAGGTATTTTCCAGTACATGATTTATAAGTCTCTTATTCCCAAAACTGTATGTTTTAACAGAATTTTCTACCAAAAAAAAGTCATTTTCAAGAATTTTCGGTTTCTTTTTGAACTGAATTATAATAATAAAAAATTTATAAAACGTTTTCTATATTAGTGTTATATCCGGATAAAATGCTGAGTGGGAGGGGGTGTGGGATGGGATGTGTGAATGATTGTTGAGGGAGGGAGAGAGAGAGAGAGAGAGAGAGAGAGAGAGAGATTGTATTCATTTATAGCACACTTTATAATAATTACATAAAGAATTTGTGTTATAACCCAAAGTCAAGTGAATTTTGTTGTTATTTAACGAATATTTTATGGGAAAAATTCATAAAATATTTATTAATATATGAAAACATGTTTTTTTGCACAACCAGTACAACACATTATATCGCATATCATGTCAATCAATGCATACATTTATGGATTAGATTTTTATTATAAATATATTGATTGGCGACAGAATTGCCACAAATATTTACTATTCATAGGAAATGTATTAAATATTTAAATGAGACAGGAATTGAGTGATATATACGACATATACTGTGAAATAGTGCGACATTTTTACATATAAATTATGTGTTAAAAATTTATCGATAAAATTTAATTCAATTTAACACGAATATGTGTTTTAGTTATTTTGAATACTTGTCTAAATTGTCTTGAACATATCATTCAGCATGAATTGCAACACAAAATACTGTGTATAGTCTCCAAATAAATCATTGAATAGCTAGCGATGATAAACTACAAGTGATTTATCAATAATTTCTCAATACTACTAAATATTCACCAATTCATACATTCCTAACAAAAAATATGACCAAAAATTATTTTAAATGAATTTCCTTCAACTTTTAATTACTATTAAAAATTTATTTCATAATAAATTAATATTTATTCTCTGGTTTTGTAATACACAGTCACAGAGAATACCTAATAATATATTGTAACACAATATGATTACCGTTACGCTAAAAATAGTAACGCAAATATTTTGTAATTGCAAACTTTGTACACCTGTACCTACGCTACCATACCTTGAATTTTTATATCACAGGCACTATAGACTACGATAACGTAAGGTATTAATAATAAATAACTTAAATGTCAATACAATTAACACTATAGTGTTATAATTAATATTTAAAAAAGTTACTAAAATTAACTACAAATCAAAAACATATTCAAAAGAAACACAATATTCACCCAAAAGTGCGAAATAGCGTTCACTTCAAAAGTTTTGACAATTTTCTCGTCGGGCGTCTCCAGGAAGCGCTTCCCGCTGACGATACCGGCGTTGTTCACCAAAATNAATTAACTACAAATCAAAAACATATTCAAAAGAAACACAATATTCACCCAAAAGTGCGAAATAGCGTTCACTTCAAAAGTTTTGACAATTTTCTCGTCGGGCGTCTCCAGGAAGCGCTTCCCGCTGACGATACCGGCGTTGTTCACCAAAATGGATACCTTTCCCACGTCCCGGCGTACCCTATCGGCCGTCTCGTACACCATAGCCCTGTCCGAGACGTCGCACACGTAGCTAAACACCCGTTTCGGGGGCTTATCGTGAGCCCCGGCACCGGTCGTCAGCTCCTCGCGAATGAGTTGACACGTCTCGTCGAGCGCCGACTGATTCAAGTCCCACACGACTACCTGAGCGCCGAGTCGGGCGAACCGTTGGGCCAGTAGTCGACCCAAACCACTGCCGCCGCCAGTGATGAGCACTATGTCGTCGGCGACGGACTTAAACCGGAGCCGTTTGGGCACAAAAAACATGACAATCCCTTCGCCCCAGTAGTACAGCAACAGTAGCACGTCGACCACCACTTGTAGCAATTGATTCATTGTTTTGTTAG